CCCCCCCCCCCCCCACATCTGCCTGTTCCCATCCTTCCCTCCCCAGTTCCAGTCTCTCTCACACATTTGCCCTAAGCTTTCTTTAAGTAAGCACTCATACTTTTTCTATGTGAGCCTGACAAGAATCATTGTTTGCCTCAAAGGCTATAATCCCAGAATTTTTGTCTGTGTTATTAGCACTTGAAACATAGAGGAGTAAAATAAGCAAACCAGGCAACAAAATTAACTGGCATTTCAGCACCCAGGCATGCTAAAATGTTACATTTGTGTGTCAAGAAAACTCAGTCTTAAACCACAAATATTTTTAACAAATCCAATAAAGTGACTCATCACTTATTTTTTAAAACAGTCACTATCAAAATCTACTTGCCATAGGCAATTATTTACACTGAACTGTCCAAATTAAATGCAGCCATCTGCAGTTAGGAACTGACTCCCCTGTTTGCAAAATGTGACATGTAATCTGTATTTTAGTCACCACTTCCACTCACATAAAGGGAGTCAGTACAGTTAAAAACCTTGTGATACTGTTCTGAAACTTTCTTATTGCATTTCTAAAAATTTCCTAGAGAAGAATCCAACTTACCTATTAGGAATGAAAATAAAAATATCTGGACTTCCGACTGGTTTATAGTGCCTCATCCTCCAACTTCCTCCAAGCACTCTGCTAAACCATTCTTTACAAACTGAAACCAGCCTTCACGGGCACATCACTCGGCGCTGTTCCAAGAAGCTGAAGGAGTTTCAGGGTGCCACCCTTTCCAAGCTCTCTCAATACCAGCTGTCAAGGATCTGCCCCAGTTCCGGCTGGTCTAGCTTTCCTAGTAGCTATTATAATCTGATTTGCTGAGATGTTGAGTCTCCACAATTTGAGAGAGAGTAGATGTTCAGTACCTCCAGCAGGGGAGGGGAGAGATCAAGCATTTAAGACTCTTCTCTTTAAATTGTCAGAGTTTAATACTGATGCAAGTTTCTCACATACACATTCAAATCTACTGCCATAGTACCACAACATGTCCATTGTGTTCCTCATCAACAGTTTAAATAGGTGGAAACTTTATCCCTTAGTAGGGATGTACACAACACTTAATATGTGCATACTAGTTTTCCTCTATAGAGCTCAAACCTCTTTAAAAAGGTTCATACTAAATTTCCTTTTTTCCCCAAATGTGGAAACCAAGGTATGGAGGGCTTGGGTGACCAGTTCCATGTAACAGGAAGTGTCAGTTCTGGAACCCTCATCCCCATTGTATTCATTCATTGACAGTTATAATATTCACCATAAGCTAATTGATGGATGCTCATAAAGGTTCTTCTAGCAGTAGAGTTTCACAGTAGATGTTCCACTAAATAGCAAGGAGATAAAGAATCCAGTTTGCTCAACTTCTTTCTGCATCTGGTAGACTGAATAAGGTCTCATTTTAACAAGCAACTATCACTTTATCTAGCACAAAGCTGCACATGGTTCACCAGGTAGTTTCCAAGTGATTAGAAAAGCCAAAACAAACACCTTTCTCGAACCATAACAGAACAAGCAGCAACAGAAAAATATTTAATCTTGAATGTCATTGTTCCATCCGTCAGAAGAAAGAAACTAAAACCAAGCTCAGAACTCTATGTTCTGTCTCCTCCTTAATCGAATCATCCAGTAATTCAGGTTCTGTGATGCAAAGCCTCCAAGCTAAATTGATGGGCTTCTATCCAAAACTATTCATCAGGCAGAGGCAGAAAATGCTTACATCAAATTTTTTTGACAGCTTCTTCTTCTCTCCTGCACAAGCACTCTTTTTTGTTTTGCTGACTGGACCCATCAGGCTGAATAACAATGCTGTTACATTAATATAAAAATATCTAGCCTATTACACAGCTTAAATTAAAACAACAACATTTCACTTTTTCAATTAAAGGAATTATTTTTGAAGTACCATTTGTTGATTAAAGTTTTATAACACATACAGACATTATATTTTCAGGCCAAATCTGTAACCCATTCTCACAGTGAGTAGCATTTATTCACATAAGTAAACGCTAGTATGGGCTTATTCAGATGAGAAACTACTCAATATAAACCAACATAAAGAACACAAAAGTAGATTCTTCAAAGAGATGAAAAGGAATCTCTCTTCTAGCATAGAAGTAGTATAAAGATAGAAGTTGCATCTGACAATTGTTAAAAATATATATATTGTTAAAGAGAAGTTTCATGGAAATAAATATAGCAAAGAAACTCTAACCAAAGTCTGTCATATGATTTCAGAAGTGGAAACTGGAAAAAATGCTGCAAACAAGATTTCAAATGTATTCTACTAGCAAAAAGGAGAACCAAAATTTTTTGCTTTATGTCACACAATAGCAGACTCTCAAAAACAGCCCCACCTTTTCTGACATACCTTAGACTTTATTTTAAAACAGGCAGAAAAGTGATAAACATTTTCAAACAAAATTCAAAACTACACTCAAGAGATTTGCAAAACCTTGATCTCTGTGCAAAAGTGGGCCCTTGCATAAGCAAACTGGGTAATTAAATGCACAAACCATCCACTGTACAAATAAAATGGACTATCTGCTTCAGTAAATACTACCCAAGTGAAAACCTTTGACCTACAGCAGATTCTCCAAGCCAGATAGAATTTGCAGATGAAAGGTCCATTTTGTTCTCCATAGGGGCAACTGATATACACAACTGGTAGCATTCCAAGGAAGATCTGTTACAAGTATTGGACATTGAGGTCCACAATTTTACTTACTCTAGTATAAATCAGGAGTAAGTCTATTCAACACAAGCACCAAGAAACAAAACTACTAGGCTAGAGACAGAAGTTACACACAAACCAGTTTAAGTGATCAGAAACAGGTTTAAACCTGTAACAGAACAGAAGTCTAGTATACTTACACCACTTACAAAATGGCTGAAACTAGCTGAAGATAACCTTGGTTAGATGCAATATCAGACTTAACTGATTTTGACCAAACCAGTTTATGCAACTTCTGTGCCAGACCCCTTCCTGGTTCAAATTAAAATCACAGTCTCCCAGCATCCCAGGATGCTTTGCAGCCCCAGAAAAACAGGGTTGGTCCCACCCCTCTGTTCCCTAGCCAGAGTACTATCACTACTCCGGCTAGCTGGGGGAGGGAGGTAGACATCTGGCTCTAAACACCAGCTGGGGTCAGCCTGGCAGGGGCAAAGCAGCCCTTCAGTCTGTGTTTAATTACAGTTGGTCATAAATGTATTCAGGCCCTTTATCAATCAAAAAAGACCTCCTGACTATGACTTTTTCCAATAACACATTCAGTCTGACTGACTACAAGTACCTCTTGAATTCTTAGTGGGTTTTCTTCATTTTGCCTTATGGACAGTGAATTCTTTGGGCCAGCAACTGACTCAGGATTGCTAACTATCCATTTACAAAGACAGCCGGGGGAGGGGGAAGGGGTGGGAGAAGTCAGGCTAAAAATACCTGTTTGTAAAATACATTAAAAAAATTAAGCAGTTTGTAAAAACACTACGCAACTAGAGCTTGACTGAAGCTCTGTGGTCAGAAAGAATCTGGAGGCAAACTGATGGACAGACAGAGCATAACAGCATAACCTGATGGCTGAGAAGGAGCACTGCACCCTGCAGCAGCCTTCTCTCAGGGATTTGTATACCTAGACACCTACCCCCATAGTCATTGTTGTTGCTGCTGTCTGTAATACTGCTGGGTCACTTATAGCCTTCTTTTGGGGTCCATGCCTTGGTCCATGGCAGCATAGTGCAAAAACATTGCTGCAGTCAATGATTTTTTGCTGCAACCTTTATTGATAATTTTTTTTTTACAATTTTTTTGGTGTTAAACACCTACATTTAAATGCAGCCCTTCTAGCTGGAGCCTGGCAGCATAGCAGACAGACTACATTTATATTATGTAAAATACATATCAGTAAAAACACCTCTCAGTAAACAGTTTGGTGGTCATATCAATAAAAAAAAATTCTTGGATTGGCAACCGTGAATTGACCCTGTGTCTCTGATGCCATATAAAGCACAAAAAACTTCTGTACTAGAAAATAAATATACAATAATGCACTTTTAGTTTTCTACTAAAGAAGCCTTTAGTTTCATAGTTGTTAAGGGCTGGAAGGGACCCTTGCAGATCACTGGGTCCAGCCCCCCTTTCACTTGGGCAGGAAAGACTGCTGGGGTCGGATGACCCCAGCAAGATGGACATCAAGACACTTTTTGAAGATCACCAGAGTAGATGATCCACTTCTGGGGGGAGCCTGTTCCAAACCCTCAGTACTTGACTTGTAAAGAAGTTTTTCCTCATGTCTAGCCCGAATCGATCTTCAATCAGTTTGTGCCCATTATTTCTAGTCCTCCCCAGGGGGGCCTTGGTGAACAGTTTCTCCCTCAGGCCCTGATGTACTCCCCCAATCAAATTTTACTGTGAAGCTTGCTTTCAATTGTTGTACTCAAATTAAAACCCCATCTGTGTCTGTTTTTGCTTAACTGATAAGTTAAAAATCCAAATATTGTAGTCTGGTGCATAGAAAAATAGGAACATGAAAAAAGTTTTTAGAAAGAAACATAAAATTAAAAAAAATCTAGAAGTCTCTCTCACCATGGTGATCCTTATGCTTCCTTGGCAATCCTCTAACTTAGTGTTTCTGAACCAGTGGGCTGTGACCCAAAAGTGGGTCACAAGAATATCTGAAAGGGTAATGAGCAAGTCCCAGGAAAAGGTGAGGAAGAATGGGTTTCTCCTTGCAGGCTGGCAGTCTTCCAGCCTGCAAGGGACTGCTTGGGGCAATTGGTGGCAGCAGGTTCACACATGGTTGGCATGCAGCCAGGCAGGGTTGTGGGAGCAGCCCCAGCATCTGGATGCAGGTAAGTATATGAGGAGTAGGGGTTGGAGAAGCAGGGCTTGGGGACTGTCTGGGGGCTTGTGTATGAGAGTGGCTGGGTATGGAGGGGATGGGTATGTGTTGTGGGGGAGGGGGGAGTGCCTGCTGGTGCTGAGGGAAGGTCGCCGGGTGCCGAGACTGCGTTGGGGGGTGGGATGGGGAAGGTCCTTTGGGGTGGCAGGTAGCTGCACGGCTGGGCTGGCAGCACCAGGGCCAGTGCCCATACTCTAAGGGGTGGGGCAGCTGGGAGACGCTGCCTGGAGGATGGGTGGGGATGTGTCTAGGCTGCCTGGCATGCAAGAGCTCCAGCCCAGGGCGGGGGGTGTCACAGGCCTCCCCGTCTTCTCCCTCCAGCCCATGCCAGGGCTGGACTTGCTCTGCTGCTGCTTGCATGAGCTGGAACTGCTGTAGCCACCAAACTCCAGCCTGAGCAGGACAGTGACAGCTGGCAAGGCTGGGGTGGGGGGTGGGGGATGAATGAGGGGCACTGGCAGGCCCAGAAGGCTGTGGGTTGGGACTGGCCCTCAAAGTTTACAAATGGGTCCCAATACAAAAAAAGGTTGAGAACCACTTCTCTAAGTCCTCTCCTTTGAGTGGGTTAGAAAATGAATCTAGTACTTGTGGAAGTGAGAAATAGTGGTACAGGCTTAAGGAACAGTGCTGGTAGTAGTGCTGGCATACAACTCTAGCACTAAACT